TGGGGGGGGGGGGGGGGGGGGAATAAAAATCTTCTGTATGTACCTTAATTCATAGTTATCACTTACTGAGATTTTGGCCCCTTCCTCTTCAGCATGAGTCAAATGCCATTTAGATGTCAGGGATAAGATACAGCAGTTCCTGTGTTCCTAATGACAAAGAGCAGCAGATGTTGGAGGGGAGAAAACTTCTACAATATGTTGGTGTGAAGTGGAATACATCTTTAAACTGGCCTTTAAAATCCCAAACAGTCTCAGTGTAAATCCTTGAAGTATAAGTTCCATTTCATGGGTTTCCTGGACTATGATTACCAAGGATGTACATTCTTGAACCCACATTGTGGTTTTAGTATCATATTTGGCCACTCTATGTTTTCCTTATTTAGGAGGCTTCACAAAAAATGTGATATTTAGTTTAATACATTCAATTTTTATGCAGACCAGGCCCTTGTTATTTAAGACACTAAAACTTTCTGAAGCCACAATTTCAATGCTGCCTGCCCAAATCTGGAGACCAGTTCCAAGCCTCCCTTCCTATTCAGTTTCATCAAGCTCCAGCAAAATGCAAATTGTAATTTTTTTTTCCAACTACCAATCAGAATCTAGCCCAAGGACCAACCCACTGAGGACAAAGACTGAAAACAAAGCAGAGGAAGGCATCCACAGAGGACACCTTTTGCAAACACTGTAAAACCAAGGGATTAGCGTTTCATTGCCTAAACCTGCTTGCAGCGCAACCAGGAAGCTTTCAGGTAGAAGCAAAAGCATTATTTTTTCTTCTTACCACATCAAATCTATCAGGAACTTTTACCTAGGAACCTACCCAAAATCGAGGCGGCAGATAGGCAATTTCATGGGGCGATCATAGTCAATGAAAATGGCAACTGGCACTTACTGTGGCAGGCCCCCCCACCCCACACACACTGACTGGCCACAGGGCACCAAGCCCCACCCCCTTGCTGCTGAATGGCAGAGAGGGGCAGGACCATGTGAAAGGCAGCCCTCTCAGCCAAGTCAGCAGTGGAGGGAGCAGCTACTGCCTTGGTTGCTCCCCTTCATGCCCAGAGCTTCCTCCTGTCCCGTGGGTGGTCACTGGGAGCCACCATCTTATTCTCAGTAAGTCAGTCTTCCTCCCCAGTGATTCTATGCAAAACTGCAGAAACTGCTGTTTTTCACAGCATTCACAGAAATCACGATTTGAGTAGGTCTCTATTTATATTGGCTCTGGTTAGTAGAAGACTGAGCCCATACATCATCCATCAATTGGTATTTTCTCTTTCCCCAAAATCCAGGAGAATAGGATTCACCATGGCCTTGCTCATTGACAGCAAGTACTCTTGTGCTACTTCAGTAGCAACCTCTGGCTAGTAGCTTTACCATTCAGCTCTAAGGGGTGTGATTTATTTCACTTAATTTGATCAAGTCACCAAGCCAAAGTTAAGGCTGGGCCAATGTACATTTCAAATTTAAAGTAAAAATGGTAAGAATTCACATTCCACATATTTCCATGCACGTGAAAAAGGAATCATAGAGTTTTCCAGATTAAAAATAAATAAATAATACTGAAGCCAATTTGAAAGGCTGGCATAAGGCATCCCTGCCTATTTCAATTAAGCAACTTTGTCACAAGTTCTGATATCAGAGAAGCACACCAAGCAAACACTCTTCCTCACCTTCGGTTCCCAACCCCCACTTCCCTACTTTACCTTTTGTCTTTCTAATTTCTACCCATTTACATTCTCACTGACATCCTGTCACACTTCTAGCTTCTCTCATTCCTTGGAGTCTTAGAACAGAAGAGACTTCCTACGCCTGATGAGGGATGACTGCGCCTGAAAGCTTGCTAAGAACTTTTTTCCAACTACTCAGTTCATCTAATAAAAGATATCACACATCTACCCAAAGAACCTTGCCAAGCAAGCTTAAGTGAACTCACATCCAGCCTAAATGGTTGCCAACAACAGTGGTAAAACTGACTTAGTGACCATATAACCAGAGCAGGTTGGAGTCTCTCACTACTTATGGAAACACACTGCTACCAAACAGCTACTATAAGGCTATTTTACAAGAGATATATAATGTGCACTTGCACACGAGGTTTGAGTATTAATTTTCAGACCGGGTGATTACTTCAATAACAGTGGAAAACAGTAAGCAGAATTAATTTCTGGTGCTCATCAGTGTTTGAAGGCAAAGTATTTTTGCTCCCCATTCAAATACCCAAGAGCAGCCATATAGATAGAATTCATTGTTTTAGCCTGACACAGCTCCCTTGTTTGTTCTCCCATCTTTAATGAACTTGCTATTATATGCCCATCAGACAACTAGTCTTGCCAGACAAGTAGAGATTTGTTTATTTACATCCATGGGGATAGGTTTTTCCTCAAATTGATTCAATTGTCCAAAAGATTTAAAACTTGATCATTTAAACCAGATTTGAATTATGCAGCATCTAACTTCCTATTTTGTGCATGACAATACAGTAACAGTAAGTTTCTACCCTACCCCATTCAGGGGAGTTGGAGTTTTTGGTCTTCTCCTCTGGAATAGTTCTAGTATCAATTCCATTTATACATTGTGAACTTCTGAAAACAGACTTGACAATTAAGTCTCAGGACTTCCCCATGTGACCACAAACCACTCCAACTGCTTTTACATTTGATCTGCCTTAGAAGAGGCTTACGACCATTCCGAGAACCTCACAACAGCGGAAGGGTAAAAAGACCTTTTGTCCCCTAAATAAAGGAATCTTTTCTGCTAGAAAAGAAGTCAAAATAGGTACTTCATAACTATTTCTCATCCAGTTAGTAGTTCCAGTCCAATTTAATCCCTGATAAAATAAAGACAGGATCAGACTCATGTTCATTATAAAATTAACTAATTCACTGAAATCAATGGAGTTGCCATAACGTAAAAGGGTTAAGTGGGAGGTGAATCGGGCCCACTAATTACATGCATAACATCTCAATTTTAAACCAAGTAACAATTTATATGTAAAGGCTGCTCTAAACATGCACTGTAGTAAGCACTTTGAAATTCAGAGCTTTAACACATGCTCGCACTTGCTAACAGATCCTGGCAAGCTCCCACAATCCGTTTGCTCAGTGGTCCCCTGGGTCAAACGTGGCCGATTTTCAGTTACCTCAACAGCAGATACCACTAGCCATCATTTAGTGAACTTCAGTTCCTTTCTGGTTTTCCTTTCAGGCAAATGCCAAGAATGACCCTTTCTCTGGAGTTAAATGGCATTTGTTGGCACACAGTGAAACACTCTGATATTTTGATGGCTACCTATACTGAAAGTTGTCGTACTCAGAGGCAGGTCATTTTAAGGAGATTTACCTGTCAATTAAAGCATCAGGCTTCTAGCAAAAATTCTAGATACTAACTCTGAACAAGACACCCTGAACACAGAAGTAATACCCCACATTTTGTGCAGACCAGACCAGACCCATACCACTCCCCCTTTGCAATAGTATTTCAACTTTCGTAGGTAACAGAATTCAAAGCACTTTCCCTATCTGTGACAAAGAACAGCCAGTCACTTAAGTGGGCGTACAAAAATACTTGAGAACACGTCCAGAGCTTAAATAAATTGTTATCTTCCACCTGCTTAAGGACTGAGGCAATCTTTAGGTTGGAATTCAAAGAGTATCAGACAGTTACACAAGGCAAAGATGAAATCCCAGCCTGTTCCTTGGGACCCATGCACCAAACCGAACCAGAACTGTCAGCATATTTTTACGCAGGGTATTCAATCTGCAAAATTTTAATCGACAACAATTCTAAGGGGGGGGGGGGGGGAAAGGAGGGAATGCAATCCACATCACTTGATCAGCGGCTACACAGAAACACCCAGCACAACTATATAAACTTCCACAGTGGAAATAATTTCCGCAGGGACAGCCTAGTGTCTGGTCCACTTGATTCTCCAAAGCTCTTTTAAAGTGGGGGGAGGGATGAAGTATTCCCCCCCCAACCTGTGAACGGCACCCCCTCCCCTCCAGAGGGGGAGACATGATGTGGCTTGAGGCTGCTCCGCAGAAACCACCGGCATGGTCTGCCCGCGGGCTGCCGCCTGCTCGTCCCACAGCCTAAGAGCCTAGACGTTGCCCTGCACAAGCCCGGGCACGAGGAGGGAGGGACGGGGCTGCACTAAGCACAATCGAGATCCACCTCCACGCTGCGGCAAGGACGGAGCCCCCTCGGCTCCGGGCGCCCCAGCGAGAGCGCGTCCTCCCTTGCACCCCAGGCTAGGCTAGGCTAGGCCAGGCCAGGCCAGGCCGAGGCCGAGGCCAAGGCCGGCCCCGGCCCCGCGGTCGCTCCCGCTCCCCCCGCTGGTAACGGTCGCGCCTCAGCCGCGCCCGGCATGAGCGCGCAGCCCAATGGGGCCGCGGGCGGGCGGGGGAAG